TTAAATCAAGCTTCCATGGGTGGAGATGAATTTAATTTCTGTCACAAGGTTTAAGATCCCAACTCCAGCCAGGTTTCTGCCTTTCTGTCTTCTAATAAAAAACATCAGTTATAAGTTGGAATAACTCAGCATTATTTTTTTGGTTAAAATGAATTGTTCACAGAATTCTGAAAAATAATCTTTCCCTCGTGAGCTATAAACTTAAAGCTACAAATTCTTTCTTTCTTAAGCAGGAACTGAGGTTCAAAGAATCTGACTGGATTGAAGCATAAAGCAGTAAATTTTGTCCCCTTAATTTACTCTCGACTTTCTTTCCTATTTCTGTGTTTGCAACCTTAATGCAGGAGAAATTAGTAAATGGTCACTGACTTAGCTGGTTTGATGGCTAATGAGTCTTCCATTTTCAAGGCTTGGGTTCTTATGATCAGCGATGAGGCTGGAGTTAAGGGGGGGTAAAGGCAAGGAGGGGCTCATTTGGCCAGTGCCAGAGAGAGGCAAAAGTTTTTATCTACACTTCCTTGTACTTGTACATGGACCTAAGACCGTGCTCCTGGACGAGGCCAGCTTCATGGATGTGGAAACTATGCAGCTGCCCAGGGCCTCTCACCAAGAAGGACTCTGTGCTTGGTTTAATGTTCTGCTGTCACCACCTTGAAATTCTTAATACTTGTTGAAAAAGGGACCCCATATTTTCACTTTGCTCTGGGACCCTCAAATTACATCTCTGGTCCTTCTCCTGGGTGATAGCTGACTCAGGCTTCCTGCTGGCCTCTTACTCTTCTCTCCCAACCATGCCCCCCAATCCAGGCTAGACTGTTTCGTGTCATGTCCACTGGAGCAGGAAAGGTGACCCTGTGCTGAGTCACCTTTCAGTGACCCTCCTGTGAATTGTATGGATTATTGGTCAAATCAGAGTATCTTTTTCTTGGTGTGGACTTTCGAGAAATGCCAGGTAATTTCAACAGTTGTGCAAACTGAACATGATTAGGAAGGGAAATGGGTTACCAAAGAAAACCCCTGCAATGCCAATGCTTAATAAAAATTATTTTTCGTTTGCAATTTTTATACTCTTATTGACAATAAACCAGCAAACAGGTGCGAAATCAATTTATATTTGGGGCTGACATTAGAATTTTAAAAAATCTTATTGAACACCTGAATACTTTGTTTTATGATGTCAGTTTCCTGAATATGGTTTCTATTTTTTAATAGTGAGCCATATGGAGGACATTTATCCAATATGCTTATTAAATTTTTATATTTGTACCACTTGCATAAGCCATCTAAAAACTATAGCGACGACACTCCTGTCTTTGGATAGTTATTTGATTTCCTTCCTTTTCTTTCTTTCCTTTTTATTGCCTTAGGAAATTCTTCTTAAACGGCCATGTTTCTCCTTTACCCAATTTAAAGATTGCTCACCTCCCGATATCCCCTTCCCCGAATCCCCTACTTTGGTAGAAATGCTTTTATAAAACTGCAATTTATAGTCATGATTTGTGCCTTCTTGAATAGACACAGTCTGATCTGTTATTACTCTCTGTTACTGAGAGCATTGTGTATTATTACATGGCATTCTTACCACAGGAGACATTGCTCTCTGCTCTGGATAGAGCAGAGTAACGGCTAGCTCATCTGGGGCTATGCCTTAGCCTATCAAGCTAACATTGTGTCATAAGGCCTACTGGACATGAAAAGCAACAGGGAAAAAATTGACTTATCAAAACTTTTTTTCAGAAATAGTAGTGCATATGGTTGAAGGGAATACTCTGAAAAGCCACTTGGAGAGGTGTTAAGAATTTCAAGGTGCATGCTCAAGTAGCAATATGCTCAATAAACTCCCCTCTGAGTAGCTTGGCTGGATTTCACTGGAGGATTTTGTTGGCTGGGTTGGGCATAGAATTTTTGGGTCAGAGACAGATTGCCTGAGATAGTGGATGGGAAACTGAATTCTGTCAGCCACCTTTTTTTTTAAACCTCTTATTCATGCAGTTCCTCTATAAATAAATGTAGAAGAGATATTTTAAAGACTATCAACTTGAAGGGACGCCCAAAAGTAGCGTTCCCACAGACATACATGTCTTGATCCAGCCCAAATGTAGGTTCTTGTATAGCTTAACCTCTCCTGAGCAACGAGGTCTTTTTTGTGTTTCTGGTCTTCGGGACTCGTTATGAGTCATGGCTTCCTGTTCAAGGTGGCTGGAGCAGCACTCAGAGCTAAATGTATGGTCTGCCTCTCACAAGAGTGAAGAGGTCCCCTCCTGGACCCATTTTATGGTCTAACCTTTATTTCTTTTTTCTTTTTTTTTCCTACTTATTTTATCTTGCCAAATGGTATATCTATGCAGGCTGCCTTAACTTCTTACTACTTTAACTTTTAAATTATTGTTTAGAGGTATTTTATATAAATAGTCTCCTCCGCCTCTTTTTCCTCCTCCCCTTCCTCTTCTATGGTAACTTCATATGAGTAATAACAATTATTTCATATCCCATATTAGTGGCCTTTATTTCAAGAGCCAGCCTCCGTTTTTGTGATTCTATATAAATTGACCAAATTGACCCAAGGGAATACTTTGGATAAAAACTCATTATACATATGGTTATGGGGGGAAAGGAAGGGAAGAAGTGCTCAATCAATTTGACAAATACTAAAGGCTGTATGTACTATTATACAAATAAACATATACATAGATAAGCAGCAAGGGATGTTAGCTGTATGTGGAATCTGAAAACACAACAAAACACAAGTGAATTAAACTGTACCTCACCAAAGCTATTATATTTAATTTATTAAAAGTAATTAACATAGAATTATTATTATGCATTTGTAATATAACTAATACTTAATAAATTATTAGCCTAACCTCTTAACTGTATTTCCAAGTACCTACCAAGCACTTTCCACCAAGATGTCCCAAAGGCACTTTATTTTATTATCTTTTTTTAATTTATTATTATTATTTTTTTAGCTGAGCCATTCTGTCACCTGTTGGCAGCTCAGAGGCAGCTCAGCTCGGGCTGGGAATCAAACTGGCAACCCTGTTGCTCAGAACTCACACTCTTGAGTGAGCTCTTAACCAACTGAGCCACTCAGCCGGCCCTCCAAAGGCATTTAAAGTCAACATCTTCGAAACTAATTCGACGTCTCTGGAAACCCTCCCCCCGTCCATACTTGTTCCTCCTTAGTCATACCCTCAGTGTCCAGACTTCACTCTCTTCTTAACCCCTACATTCAACCCGCCATCTAGTCCTCTGTTTAGCCTTGAACTCTCTCTGGAATCCAAGTTCCCCTCTCTGACACTAAAGTCACTTCAGATCCTATTATCTCACCCCTTTACCTGAGGTCTCCTATTGGGTAATGTGTGTACCCCAGGGTGTACATAAAATAATCTTTTGAGTAAGTGAAGAAAAAGAGCAGAGCTTCTATTTATATTTTTATCTCTTCCTTTTAACATTTCTGACATTTACAATGCATATATTGGTAGTTATGCATGTAAATAAGTAATAGTTATATATACATAGGACTATGTGCTCAAATATTTCTAATGGGGTGCGCAATCAAAACGGAGATTACTAACCTAGATGATTGCAGTTTGTAACCCTGCCTTCAGTGTAACTTCCTACTATTCTATTCATCTATGAGTTAATACAAGTAAAGCACTTAGAAGGAGCTAAGCACTATATAAGAGTTAGCTATCATTATTATATTATTAGCCTATCCCCAAATCTAACTTTCTGCCACTTATTTCCTCATTATCATGCAACTGGATCTTTACTTAAAAGTCTTAAATAAGTTGGTTCTCACATTAGGATCCCAGGGATAGCCCCCTGGCTCCTGACCTGTGTTGCCAAGTCTGTGTGATCACAAGCTGATGCTCTGGGCTCTGGCTAGTTAGAGGAGAAAAGCTGCTGAGATCTAGCACCACAACCAGGTGTGTTCACTCCGCTTCCAGCCTCTCCCTTGATCACTTCCTGTAACAGACATCACTTCCCTAAATCACACAGCTGATCGTTGCCACTCCCTAGCATAAGACAACGTGTAGACCTTAGAATATCTATCGAGTCCACGTTCCCTTGGGGGACTGAGAATTAAAATATGTTGGAAAAGTTGCTACCTAGGAGTTGTAGAGTTTTGCCTTCTACTGTATTTGCTAAGAAAAAAGGAGAAAGAATAGCAGAGCATTAACATTCCAGAGTCAGATGACATGGATTGAAACCTGTCCCAATCATTTGGAACCAAACCCAATCATGTGTGGTCTGGGTGAATTGCTTCATATCTCCATGACTCAATTTTCTTCTCTGTAAAAGGGCATAACGATACCTGCCTCATAGGATTAAGATAACACATACCATATTTCCCCATGTATAAGATGCACCTTAATTTTGGGGCCCGAAATGTGAAAAAAAATGTATTACACAAAGCTATTGAACTCAAGTTTTATTCATCATAAAATTCATACAACTCCTCATCACTGTCAAAACTCCCAACCATTAGCTTGTCGTCATCTGTGTCTGATGACGAATCACTGTCTTCATATATTGCCTTGTCCTCAGTTCCATCTATGGCATTTGAAATGCCACACTTCTTAAATGACTGGACAATGACCTACAACCACTGTATAAGACGCACCCAGTTTTTAGACCCCACATTTTTTGAAAAAGGGTGTGTCTTATACATGGGGAGATACGGTAATGTTCTTGAGGACCAATAGATGTGTAATAAATGGTAGCATTTTTCATTTGAGATATTCTGACACCTTTAGAAAGTCTTCCACTAATAGGATATTTAACACATTCTAGTTAGAGAAGAACTCCTGAAAGAAACGACAACTGAGAGCTGACATAAATGGGAGCATTGCAGGCAATGACCGCAGAGTGCTGTGTGGCATGGCTACAGTAGAGACAGAGAGCTGGGAGGGAGAGGTGAGGCTGGGGAGCCAGGACAGGGTCAGAATGGAACGGCTTCTTTTTTTAATAGCGCTTTTCTTTTTAACCACCACTCAGGTGCAACCAACTTTATTTCCAGAAGATAGTATGCAAAGACCACTCCACACAACACTCTGAAAACTAAAGCAGCACCTTTATATTATACATACAAACAGTATAAAATGTTTATTATGTAAGAGCTGTGTTTTGTTTACAATATATTATATTGCTTCAAGCCAATGCCAAAAGTTCATACATTATATTCCCTATTTTACTGTGTTTACAATATATTATATTGTTTAAATGCCACTACCACAGTGTTCTTTCTTTCTTTCTTTCTTTTTAATAGTGAATTCTCTGGAATCATGGTAAGGTCAAAATGTATTGTACTCAGAGTTTAAAAATAAGGGCAATTAAAAAATATGTGACAAATGTCTAAATACATGACAATAAAATTTGAAATGCTATAACTTCAGCACTGTTAACTGCGTCATCCAAACCCTTGTGATTTATGCATATTTGTTCCATTTACCTTCTCTAATGTACTCCCAACCCCTTGACACCATGAATGCATTGTGATTTTGGGACTTATCTGCCAACTCCACACTGAAAAGACAAAATTTTAACCGGATCAACTGCCATCATATAAAATCTGTCCCAAAGCATTGAAACAAGAAAATCTATACCATCATGCTACAGACGTACTTAGAAAACTTAAAAGGAAGAGTAAATATCAGCTCAGTGATTTATAATGAAGCTAATAAAATTCAGGCCAGTATTTTTAACTGTAATGAACATTATTTGAACATTCAACACATGAAAGGTTAACAAAGGCTATGAACTTGGTGTAACTTAAAACGTTTCAGATGTCGGAGTTCACCAGATGTAATTGGATTCAGGTGGATCCTGCCGATCCTCCCCCTTTTTAGGTGAAGGCGTGTGCTGCCTGAGCCGGGCGCCTGCTGGCCTCAGGGCATGCATGAGGCTGGCTCCGTACCCTGCAAAATTATTCACAGCTTAAAAGAAAAGAAACTACAAAAACAGGCTCTTCAGATTCATTATTAACCATTCAAATAAAATCCATTTTCTCTTTTCAACCCAGAGCGAAAGACCACAGCGACCACAAAAAGCTACCTGAAGAGATGTTACAGGTTCAAGATGCCTGTTAAAAGAAACCTATGCTGCGAACACCATCAAAGCTGGCTTCCATGGAATGTCTGACTAACTAGATATTTTGGCCATGCAGAAACTCTTGATGTAAAGTTTGGATGAATGTGATCAAATGGAAGGATATTCTCCGCCCAAGGGCTGCTGAGGATCTTGCACTGAGGTCCCGAATGTAGGGTTACTTCTGCAGAAAATTTGATCATGGATCCTTTTCACTGCATTGCAAGACCAGTCTCAATTATATTGATCCAGTTCAGTAGAACAACCTCCACTCTTCATATAGATCACACGATCGGGTGTGGCTATTGCACTTACACAAAATAAAAATTTTATAAGAATTAAGGACTTCAATTATACACATTAGAGAAAGGGTATGATTCCCTTTATCAATGGGGATTTGTGAGTTTTGGTCAAGGTGGGCATCTACCCATTTCCAGCTCAGTTTTTGTTAAGTAGAGTGTAATGCTGAGTTACACAACTCGAGACCTCCTTTCCTCCTACTTGTGAACTCTTGGAGGTGCTCGGGGCACTGATTCATTTCGACTGGTCTCCTAAAACTGATCCAAGACAGCAATCACATTGTAGAAATCTGCCTCCATCTTCCTGTGCATCAGAATCAAGTTTGGCATTTCATTTGTTCCTTGTGGTTTTTAAATGCAAGCATGCCGTTAAATAACTACTGAGTGCAGAATACTTTGTTCCTGAATGTGTTTCTTTGAATTGTTAGTATGTAGGCTAGTCGCTCATGGAACCGCCAAAACATGAGCCAACAATGCGCTTGGAGTAAATCCCTACCCTGCTGCTTTCCCTGCCACCCATGAAGCCCAAACCTCCCTGCTGGTGAGGGTGAGCCTAAGCAGAGAAGTCTGTTTCCAGCATCCTCCTCCCCACTAAGATGTCTGGGTGCCTGGGACCTCCCAACGTGTCACCCCACTGGGAATCTGTTCTTAGAAGAAGAAGTCTGTGCCTTAGAGCTTCCTCGTCACCTCCCTCCAATCAAAATAAACCTCATTCTTTCAGCCTGATTCTCTTAGCTAATGTACAAAATGGCTGGGTGGCCTCTACCGGAAAACACGTTTGCATTTTAATCAGGCACCAGGGCATCTTCTTGACATGCAATGCCTTAATCTGAAGGAGGTACATTGATGACAAAAGCTTTCAGCAGCACGTCTACAAGTGGGGATGCTATTTGGGGGCTGGTAGACCTGTCAGAATCGTTCATCTCTACTCCATGACAGCCCCTAACTTGCTCTCCTTTTGCATGTTACAGCAGGAACAGTATCCCTCGGGCTCTCCTTCTGTCACTCTTGGTGGTCACCAGGCTCCAGATGTGAGTTTCAGAAGATGTTTGTAATTGAGTCTTGGGAGGTATGGTCTGACCTCATCCCAGGACTGAGGACTTCTGGAAAGTTACTCTGATTTGGGGACAAAATTCAGGGTTTGTAGATAGTTGAGGGTAGAATAAAGAGTTTGTTTACTCTTTTCCAAAATAGCTTTAGAAATAGTTAGTTTTCTATAGGTCTTTTAGTCCAAAGAGGGTTTCCTGGTAAGTATGTCCTAACTGGGATACTGTTCAACCATGACCACCTGAGTAAAGAAGCTATTTTCCCGAGGAGCCACGCTTCTTGCTAAGTTGTGCCCCCCTGGAGCCTCAATCTACCATCCAATCAATTCAGTAGATGAAAAAGAATCAAATCAATAGCTTGGTGTAGCCTAGACCAGACACCAACTACCTTAAAATCAACAAATAAGTAAACATGTGCATACCTATATATAAATGTATTTTATATATATGTATATATGAATAATATAAAGTGAACATTATAAAATATGCACAAAAATGAGAAATTTGAGATTGAGATGTATAAATACAAATATTTATATATTACATATGTATTTATACAAATAAAGATAAAATAATATAAAATATATTTTAAAACTAATATTTTTTCTCAGCATCCCAGCTGATCATTGCCACATTCACTGGGCTATATGCACCGCCCTTTGGAGACCACTTGTCTAGAAAAACATTTTATGTGTGAATGATTTGTTCAATTTGTGTCCATTATTTTGGAGACACAATATGATGGACATAATCTGGACTTCTGTTATTGAAGGGTGTTGTATGACTGACATTCTTCCTTTCCTCAAAGGAAGGTGGACAGTGGGCCCATGCTTAGGAAACTGAGTTCTAGCAGCCAACGTATGGAAAGTGCATTGTTCCACTGGTTCACTTGCTAATTGACTGTCTCTCCCACTAGAATCTGGGCTCCACCAGGCAGAGCCTTTTCTATCTGTTCACTAACATGTCCCCAGTGCCCGGATTCATGCTTAACACAGAGAAGATAACAATCAAAATGAAATGGTTGCATTTAGCAGGTTTCATTTTGTGTATAAACCAGGCCAGTGGTTTATTATTTAAATAGCTAGTTCATTTTTGACAGTCAATAAATTTGGAAGAAAGGCAACTCCACTGTAACATCTATCCCATACTTCATAGACCTTTTCTTTCCCTCAAAAGAACTCATTTAAACCATACCATAACCAATACAACTTACAGGTTTTGAAAAGCAAAACTCTTCATGTTTTAGATGCTAAATCTTAGCTGATAAATCTTCATTGATAAAATGAGAACCACGTTAAAAACTAATTCCACATTTGACTTAAAATCTTACTTTTTACTTGTCATTTCTTTCATAGTTCACACACTGTATTAACAACTCAACCTGTTTTACTCATTTAACCTATTAAATATTTGTAGTGTTATTTGACAGATTTCGTGATATTTTACAATGATGCATGAAGCTTAGACCGTAAAGTTTAGAGAGTCGTGGGTGGCAGGAGGAAGCATGGGGGAGAAAAGGAAGAAGAAGTTGCTTTTAATGGAACAGAAAGCAGGGCTGAGTTATGAGTTGTCTATGAGTCTTTGGAGCCAAGGAGCAGACATGAAGGAGGCCGGCTCCAGACAGCTCCCACTCACTTTTATTGCAGTGTCTTCCATGCCAGCCTTCTTGACATCGGCATTTGTTGGGTTCGTGGCAGGTTCCATGTGTACCGCAGCCAGGCTCACAGACAGCTAGAGTCAAAGGAGATAAAAAGAATGCTTCCTGAGCTTTCATTTTTCAACAGAAATACACAGCCATTTTTCCTGCAGTTCCTTAGAATGTGTTAGTTTTGGCTTCATCCCCTATTTTTTTTCCCCCCTCTAAGTCAATCTTCAGCTACAAGTCAGTTTGGGACTTACTGAAAAAGTCCTGAAAGGGATCTTAAACTAAGCTTGATGCTTCTCATTCACATAAGACACTCAGCAGGACTTTGAAACCGCTGGGCAATGGAAGTTTATTTTCCTTAAGAAGGCTGCTAATGGTGAAAAAGTTCAGTTGTGTGTGTGAATGTGTCTAAGTTTTTTTTACATGTGTTGATTTCAAACATCTTTGCTCTACACACAGGAAACACACGTCAGTGAAGAAAGGTTCATTGTGGTGCTGAGGCAACATGGGGTAGACACAGAAGTCATGCAGTATGAGGTTACTGTTGCTTTAATTCTCCCGTAACCCAGGTTGGTGATGTGTATGCGGTACTTACGTGTATGCGGTACTTACGCTTTGAACAGAGGTCTCCTTGGTAACCTTTGGAGCATTTACATTTGCTTTTACCAATGCATTTACCTCCATTTCGACAGGGTTGTGGGCATTTGCCTGAAACAGAGAAGAAGGCAAATAAGCAAGGAACTCGGGACTTCGTTCAGAGGTAATTACATTTTTCAAAGAAATTACAAGGCTTTGAGAGGATAAATGCTTTTAAATGGTAATTATTTCCACTTATTTCAGATTTAATCTGGCTTTGAAATAGCTTGAGTTTCATTTTTGGAACAAGCAGGCTAGTATTTTTACTTATGATTTTGGGTATATAGCTTCTATAATAAATGTGTTGCTCAAAAGCTGTATTTAGCCAGCGGAGTGGCTCAGTTGGTTAAGAGCTCATTCAAGAGTGCGAGCTCTGAGCAACAGGGTCACCGGTTTGATTCCTGGCCTGAGCTGAGCCGCTGAGCTGCCAACAGGTGGCAGGATGTCTCAGCTAAAAAAAACAAAAACAAAAGCTGTATTTATATTACTTTTTTTGTAAATGGAATAAAATTTTAATTGACTCATAAACACTTGTAATTTAAGACATACTAATATTTAATATGGAAATGACCCTTTAAATGATCGGTTCTCTGAGTTCTAATTCTTGAATGCCACTTTTTCTGAAAGCAAGCCTACACCTGTACCTGATGCATCAGTCTTAGCCTAGGAGTCTTCAGAAAGCAGGACCGGCCACAGATAGTTTATTTGGGGAAGTGAGCCTAAGAAACAGGAATGGGGAGACTGGAAGAGTAAAACAGGAAAGGAGGGAAAGCCAACACAAAAGTACGTTTGTGGGTGGGTCATCACTATGGCAACTGGGCTCTATCCTGCTGGGTCCTTCTGAGGAGCCATGTAGATGGCACCTACAAATTGTCTGAAAGAAGGGAGAGGGAAGCATTTATTCATCAGTGGCTATCTCCCACTGGTCAAGGGAGCCTCCGTGGGATAACTTCCTTGCACTTCCATTCCACAACTGTGTGAGTACAGGTTGTATTTTTTTTTTTTTTATGACTCAGAGGAGTCTCTGGGTGGAAAGCAAGAGAAGTGTGGAACAGCTAAGATGAGGTGCAATCAGGTTATACCTGTGCAAAACAGGTTGTCATAGTAGTCAGTGGCTGGAGTGAAAGTCTGGCTAAGGAGGATATGAGGTGGGGCCCAAAAGGTGACTGATACCACACCTACACATTTTTCTGGAATGTCTCAGATCCTAATAATACATCATTCTTTCTTTTATCTATGTGCCAAATGAATATTGCTAATGTCGTCACAGATCTTTGCATCGCAGGATTTTAGAGCTGGAATAGGGTCTTAGATGTAAAAATTATATAATAATTTTCTTCTTACTCCAGAAGCTACTTATTCTCCCTCTGAAATCTGGAATTTGCCATCCCAAGGCTGAATTGTTTTTTGAAGAAGCAGAAGATGAAGGGTTGCTCACCCAGAGCTGAAACCACATCCTGTGACCAGCATAATGATGTTACAAACAGAGCAAACAGCCATTAGATTTTTGGTAGTGGGGGAATTTGGATATATTTGTTGTTGTTCTTTTTCTTTTCTCCCCACTATAGCAGAACACTCATGACAAAGGCCTCAGTACATAAGGAGAAGAAATGAAATCTTTATCCTAAAACAACTCACCTTTCATTTTCTAAGCTCTTCTTTTTATGGTCAAACAAGCTTTGAAAGACGTGAACTATATATTTTATCAACAAGCGTTATGCTTGATAAACATGAAGTGAATTCCATATGAAAAGCATTTTGCTAAAAACACACTTTTCTTTTTACTTATCCAAAAGGACTTTCTTAATATATAAATTGAACGAAGAAGCAGCCTTTAGTCACCGTGGAGACAATATAGACATAATATTGAAATGTTAGAGTCTCTTCAAAACCTGGAATGCCATTAGGTCTTTAGGTTTTTCTGATGCAAGGATGTTCCAGAAACAGGTATTAAAACAACCTTAATAATAGAATACCACCTTTTCGCTGACCATTAAAAATCCAAAAGGGTCCTTTTTGCTAGGTTTGGATACAAAGAACAGCATTTACTATTTTGTCAAAACCCCAACTCTTACCTAAAGCAAAGGAGTACCTAACTCTGAAATTCTATTTGTGTCCAAGAAACATCTGACCCCATCACATGCACAAAATTGGATCATATCATAGTATTCTGCAATGCACTGAGGTTTTTTTCAAGTAAGCAAGATGTAGGACAATAATTATATGGCAGAAAACATAGAGTACTTATTGTGAAATACTTGGTGGGCCCCAATTCCCAATTCACTTCTGTGAGAGGTGAACTTGGTAACCAAGGATAATGCTTGGTGGACAGAACCACCAAGAGAATGATTGGTGGATAGAACCTTTTCATTGACTCCATGGGTCTTTGTATTTTCTTGGCAAGAGGGTAAGTGAGGACCTCAAGGTTCACTGCAGCCAAGAAGGACATTCTCTCCTGGTTATTACACAACAGAATGTGACTGCAGGCAACTGTTAGAAGGCCATTCCTCTATCAAACCTCATGAAGCCAAAAACCTCCTGAAGATCTGATTGTTTTAAAATTCAGAATTCTATAAGAGTCTTTAACATTGATTTGCTTTTCCTGAAAATATTTTGCAACCAAATTCTATTCATGGGACAATGGAAAACTGAGTCAAACTAGAGAGAAACCTAAAAGAGACTAAAGATTGCTAAAAGACAAACAGATTTGACTAAGTTTAAACAGTTAGCATTTTTACTATAACGTGTGAATGAGTCCAGTTAGAACAATGAGATAAGGTATTGGCAAACAAAAACATTAAACTTCCTCCATCCATTGGATTGTGAGGTAACTTAAATTTGCTACTCTGCTTCATATAGAAAAAAAGATAAAAAAGATTTACAATAAGTACCAACAACCATCATCTCTGGGTCTTAGAATTATGGGTGAATTTTAATTGTTTTATCCAATATGCTAAATTTTTACAGAGAACTTTTATAATAATAAAAACCTATTAAGTCTTTTTTATTATTAGTTTCAGGTGTACAAAACAACATAATGATTAGACATTTACATACTTCACAAAGGGATAACCCCAAGTCTACTACCCGTCTACTACCCATCTGACACCGTACATAGCTATTATAATACCATTGACTATATTCCATGTTTACTTTACATTCCATGACCATATATATGTATATATATATGTATTTAAATGATAGCTGACTTTCAATATTATTTTATATTAGTTTCAGGTGTACAGCACAGTGGTTAGGCATTTATATAACTTATGAAGTGATCCCCCCAATAAGTAAGCCTAGTACCCATCTGACACCATACATAGTTTTTACATTATTGACTGTATTCCCTATACTGTATTTAACATCCCCATGACTATTTTGTAACTACCAATTTGTACTTTCTAATCCCTTCACCTTTCTCACCCATCTCCCATCCCCCCTCCCATCTAGCAACCATCAGTTTGTTCTCTCTATCTATTTTATTTCTGTTTATTTTTATTTCTATTTCTGTTTTATTTGCTCATTTATTCTGTTTTTTAGATTCCACATATAAGTGAGATCACACGGTATTTGTTTTTCTCAGTCTGACTTCTTTCACTTAGCATAATATCCTCTAGGTTCATCCATGTTGTTGCAAATGGTAGGATTTCATTCTTTTTTATGGCAGAGTAATACTTCATTATATAAATGTACCACAATTTCTTTATCCTATCATCTATTGACTGGCATTTTGGTTGTTTCCATGTCTTGGCTATTGTAAACAGCACTGCAGTAAACATAGGTGTGCATACATTTTTTTTTGAATTTCTTTGGATAAATACCCAGGAGTGGAATTGCTGGATCATAAGGTAGTTCTATTTTTAATTTTTTGAGGAACCTATATACTGTTTTCCATAATGGTTGCACTAGTTTACAATCTCACCAGCAGTGTCTGAGGGTTGCCTTTTCTTCACATCCTTGCCAATACTTGTTGTTTATTGATTTGTTAATGATAGCCATTCTGAAAGGATTAAAGTGATTTCTTATTGTGGTTTTTATTTGTATTTCTCTGATGATTAGTGATGTTGAGCATCTTTTCATGTCTATTGACCATCTGTATGTCCTCTTTGGAGAAATGTTTATTCAGGTCCTCTGCCCATTTTTTAATTGGATTCTTTGGTTTTTGGGTGTTGAATTGTATGAGTTTTTTATAAATTTTGAATATTAACCCTTTATCAGATATATCATTGGTAAATATCTTCTCCCATTCAGTAGGATGTCTTTTTGTTTTGTTGATGGTTTCCTTTGCTATGAAAAAGCTTTTTAGTTTGATGTAGTCCCATTTGTTTATTTTTTCTTTTGTTTCCCTTGCCCGAGTAGATGTATCAGTAAAAATATAACTAAGGGTAATGTCTGAGAGTTTACTTTCTATATTTTCCTCCATGAGTTTTACGGTTTCAGGTTTTACATTTAAGTCTTTAATCCATTTTGAGTTTATCTTTGTATATGGTGTAAGAAGGTGTTCCAGTTTCATTTTTTTTGCATGTATCTGTCCAGTTTTCCCAGCACCATTTTTTGAATAGACTGTCTTTACCCCAATGTAAATTCTTGCTTCCTTTGTCATATATTAAATGACCACACAGGCATGGATTTATTTCTGGGCTCTCTATTCTGTTCCATTGTGTGTCTGTCTGTATGCCGATACCATGCTGTTTTGATTACTACGCCCTTGTAGTATAACTTGATATTAGGAAGCGTGATACCTCCAGCTTTGTTCTTTTTTCAGGATGGCTATGGCTATTTGGGGTCTTTTATGGTTCATATAAATTTTAAAATTATTTGTTCTGGTTCAGTGAAAAATGCCATTGGTAATTTGGGAGGGGTTGCATTGAATCTGTCGATTGCTTTGGGTAGTTTGGACATTTTAACTATATTAATTCTTCCTATCCATGAGCATGGTATATGTTTCCATTTATTTGTATCTTCTTTAATTTTTCTCTTCAATGTCATAATTTTCTGAGTACAGGTTTTTTACTTCCTTGATTAAATTTATTCCTAAGTATTTTTTTGATGCAATAGTAAATGAGATTGTTTTCTTAATTTCTCTTTCTGATAGTTCATTATTGGTGTATAAAAATGCAACTGATTTCTGAATATTAAATTTGTATCCTGCTACTTTACTAAATTTATTTATCAGTTTTAATAGTTTTTGGCGGAATCTTTGGGGTTCTCTCTACATAGTATCATGTCATCTGCAAATAATGACAGTCTTATTTCTTTCTTTTCTATTTGGATGCCTTTTCTTTCTTTTTCTTGACTGACTGCTGTGGTTGGGACTTTCAGTACTATGTTGAATAAACGTGGTGAAAGTGGGCATCCTTATCTTGTTCCTGATCTTAAAAAGAATGCTTTTAGCTTTTCCCCATTGAATATGATATAAGCTATGAGTTTGTCATATATGGACTTTATTATGTTGAAATATGTTACCGCTATTCCCACTTTGCTGAGAGTTTTTACCATAAATGGATGCTGGATTTTGTTAACTGCTTTTTTCCCATCTATTGATATGACCATATGATTTTTATCTGTCATTTTGCTTATGTGGTGTATCATGTTAATTGATTTGAGAATATTGAACCAACCTTGAATACCAGGAATGAATCCCACTTGATCTTTGTGTATGATCCTTTTAATGTATTGCTGAATTCGACTTGCTAATATTTTTGTTGAGGATTTTGCATCTATGTTCATTATGGATATCAGCCTATACAGCAAGTCCCTGACGTACAAACGAGTTCTGTTCTGGGAGAACGTTCGTAAGTCGGATTCTTTCATAAGTCCGATTCGTTCGTAAGTTCGACAAAGTGAGTCTTATACACCTTTGACACAAATATACAATGTAAAGCCAATGGTTGAATGATTCATGTTATAAGTACGAGCGATGTCTACCATCTTTTTGCCTTGGTCCAATCTCTCAATTATTTTCACTTTTGTTTCCATGGTTATTGCTTTGCGCTTCCTAGCAGTCCCCTCCGCATCATCAATGCTTTTCCTCTTGCTTCCGGACATCCTGGACTCTGATTGATCACTGTACTACTGTACTATTGCACTGTACAGACAGCACACAGCAGCACAACTGTGACAATGTCCGGAAGACATGTGAACTACTTCCATGATTTGTTTGCATCTACGAATGTTCCTAATGCGAGATCCGGTCCTATCCGTGAAAGTTTGCAACTCAAATGTTCATAAGTTGGAGGCTTACTGTAGTTCTCTTTTTTTGTTGATGTCTTTGTCTGGTTTTGGAATCAGGGTAACTGTAGCCTCATAAAATGAGTTTGGAAGCCTTCCCTCCTTTTGGATTTTTTGGAATAGTTTGAGAATAGGTGTTAATTCTTGTTTTCAATGTTTGGTAAAATTCATCTGTGATGTCATCTGGTCCAGGACTTTTGTTCTTTGGGAGCTTGTTGATTACTGATTCAGCTTCGTTGTAGTAATCAGTCTGTTGAGATTTTCTTTTTCTTCTTGATTTAGCCTTGGAATATTGTATATTTCTAGAAATTTATCCATTTCTTCCAGATTGTCCAATTTTTTGTTGTATAGTTGCTGGTAGTATTTTCTTAAAATTTTTGTATTTTTGTGGTGTCGGTTGTCACTTCTCTTTCATTTCTGACTTTATTTATTTGAATCCTCTTTCTTTTTTCTTGATGAGTCTGGTGAAAAGTTTGCCAATTTTGTTTATCCTTTTAAAAACCAGGTCTTGATTTCATTGATCTTTTGTATTTTTTTCTTTTTTGTCTCTATTTCATTTATTTCTGCTCTGATCTTTATTATTTCCTTCCTTCTATCCACTTTGGGCTTTGTTTGCTGTTACTTTTCCAGATCCCTTACGTGTAAAATTAGACTGTTTATTTGATATTTTTCTTGTTTCTTGAGGTAGGCCTGCATTGCTATGAATTTCCCTTTTACGACTGCTTTCACTGTGTCCCATAAATTTTGGGTAGTTGTGTTTCCATTTTTATTTGTCTGAAGATATCTTTTGATTTCTTCCTTGATCTCATTGTTGATCCATTAATAATTTAGTAGCACGTTATTTAGCCTCCACGTGTTTATGTGTTTTTCAGGTTTTTTTCTTGTAATTGATTTCTAGTTTCATACCATTGTGGTCACAGAAGATGCTTGATATAATTTCAATCTTCTTAAATTTATTTCAATTTATTTTGTGGCCTAACATGTGGTCTATCTTGGAAAATGTTCCATGTGCACTTGAAAAGAATATATATTCTGCTGTTTTGGGGTGAAATGTTCTAAAAATATCAATTAAATCCATCTGGTGTAGTGTGTCATATAAGGCTGCTGTTTCCATGTTGATTTTCTGCCTGGAGATCTGTCCATTGGTGTCAGTGGTGAGTTAAATTCCCCTACTATTATTGCGTTACTGTTGATCTCTGCCTTTATGTCAGTCAATATTTGTTTTATATATTTAGGTGCTCCTATGTTGGGTGCATAAATGTTTATTAGGGTGATGTCCTCTTGATGGGTTGATCCTTGTATTATTATGTAATGTCCTTCTTCGTGTCTTATTGTAGTTTTCATTTTAAAGTCTATTTTGTCTGATATAAGTATTGCTACTTGGGTTTTTTTCTCATTTCCATTTGCATGAAATATCTTTTTCCATTTCTTAACTTTCAGTCTATGTGTATCATATGTTATATGATTCTATTTATACAAATAAATATGAAATGTCCAGACAGAATAGGAAAATCTAAAGAGACAGAAAGCAGATTAGTGGTTTCCAGGGTCTCGGGGAGAAAGGAATGAGGAGTGACTACTAATGGGTACAGGGTTTCTTTTGAGGGTGATGACATGTTCTGGAATTTGATAAAAGTGATACTGCATGATTTTGTAAATATACTAAACTGTATACTTTTAAATGGTAAATTTTATGGTATGTGAATTATATCTCAATTTAAAAATAAGAATATATAATTCAACTTTTGTCTGTATTACACCAGAGGCACTTTTCTACTCAAGATCTATTTCTGTATATTTCGTAATGTGGTAATGGAAACAGAAAATTTCCTAAAAGGATTTGAGTATAACTTGTGATAGGGATACTCAGGAGCTACCAAAGGCCCACATTTTTGGTGTAGTTATGAAAAAAAACAAAACCAGGAATAGAAAACATTGTCTCTGCCAATGAAAAGGTCATAAACCTAAGGGCATAAAAGGGCATACTTACATGAAATGAGCCCATGAACAAAGATTCATAAACATGAACCAACAAACTATGTGAAGTCTTAGAGTAAGTACAGGGAGAAAACCAAAGGGGGCAAGTTCACAGAATTGTTTATCAGGGCAGGGTAACTAATAAGAACAGAAACCACATCCTGACAATTAATTACATATTCCATGGAAACTTCAGAGGTATTTCATTTGAACTCTGTAAAAAGTGATTACTTCATCTACTAACTCATTAAAGTACGAAAACCCACAAATAAATTAGAGGTTGAAAGTTAAAATAGGAAGTCAGTATTATTTAATTTTGAACCCATTACAACTTCAGAAACTACGGCTATACCAAACACAGTGGTGTTTTGCAGAATTTAATACGGCTGGAAATGAAAATGCCATATCATATTCCAGAACTTCCAGAAAGGCAGGGACACGGTACCCTCAGCAGATGTGCTCACATTGCCTTTGCACCTTCCTGAGTGGAGCTTTGAATGCTATCTGTCTTTTGGATCATAAAGCAATCCAGAATGGGGTTGGCTCATTTCTGAGTTTAATAGGGAGCTTCAGTGACTTGCTGAGGGTGACACGGGTAGTAGGTGGCAGAGCCAGAACAAGCAGTTTGATATCCTCACTCACAAAGCAATGATTATCTACCATACTCTATCCTTAAATTTTTATTTTATTTTTTTGTATTGGAGCATGACAAACATATAGTGAAGACACAACATGCCCCAATCTTAAGTTTACAGCTCAACTATTTTTTTTACATAAATAAACATTCATGTGACACTTCATCAATCCAAATATAGAGCATTTTTGGCAGTCCATAAAGTTCCTTTGTGCCCCCAACCACTATTCTGGCTTCTCCTATCATCCATTAGTTTTGCCAGTTCTTGAACTTCATAAAAATAGAATAATACAATATGTACTTTTTTGTATCTAGCTCCTTTTACTTAACATCTGTGTAATTCATTCATGTTGTTGTATATGCTACTAGTTCATTCTTTCTTATTGCTGTGCATCCTTTTTTCTTGTTTTGCTTGAGTCTATCCTTTCCTCTTAAATAGGTTACTCGCTCAGTGCAGTTTAGGAAATTTGGCAGTGAGTGGCAGAGAAAAGACTCCCCAAGCATGCAGGTAGGTGAGCAAATCCCAGCTGTCCCAAAGCTCTGGTCTACATTTCTAGGCTGAAACCATGGGCTCTGCACAATGAGAAGGGGACGAAACTACCAAGAACAATGCAACATGCTGAATAATCCAAATGCAGACATAATTGAGTCAGAGAACATTTGCTCCAAGTCATCTGAGCTGAGCTATGTCACCCTGTACCCCACCTTTAGCAAAAATGAGTGGGGGCTGAATCTAGTGAAAAGAAACCAGTGGCCTGAGCTGTCTCTGGGCTTTAGATTCTTGATTGATAAAATGCAGGGGTTAGCTGGCATTTCTAAGGTCCCCCAAAATCAAAGAGAATGCAGAAAGTCAGTACTCACTTATTTCACACTGTTCTCCTTCTAGTCCTGGAGGACAAATACACTTGCCAGGGTAGAAACAGGTCCCTCCATTAACACAGGTAGTTGAACAGTTTGCTGTTAGAATGAATAACAGGGTATTGCATTAGACAGTAGGTTAAATCTAAAAAAACAGAGAAACAAAAAACTTCACTTACAGATAGCTGACACTTCTGAGGCATCACTACTTGTCCATTTACAAACACTTTTTGTAAAGTCAACCACTTTATAAACACGAGAATTATAACCAATTGCTTGACAATTTACAGACTCCCGACAATGTAATAGGATACTATACACATTTTATATATTATAGTACCTATCCCGAGAAGTTTACACCTTAGTGAAAAATTATCTTTTTTATTTTCTTGTAAATATCTATGCCCTTAAAAGGAGAACACTATAAACCCCACCCCCCACATTTTTTAAGATAAAGGAGGAGGAAAATGGAGAAAACTTTCAGAGTTGAAATAGATAAAAGGAAGAGAAGTCATAAGTATTAGGATCTGACAAAGGAGAAAGCAACTTTTTTTCAGAATCAGAAGAGAGAGTTCTATTACATAATAGGAATCTTTTAAAAAATAGACTTGTATGACATTTGGAGAAAGGAGTGATAGTATTCAGGAAAGGACCGACTGCCGACCCTCGTGAGATCCCATAGACAGGTAAGTGGCGGCAGCATGGGCCAGAGGGATGAAGAACTGGGATATATTGTTGTGGGAGTTCAATTAACCGGATTATCCGGGTAATAATTGGACTGTATGTGATTCATCCTAAACCCTCTCCCTTGGTGTCAGCTTCTGGAATTTGACTGCTCATTGGCACCTAAAATAGGAGGAGGACAGAAATGGGGATGGGGGAGAGCAAAAAAATCTAAAAACAGACAAGTTGGCTCATTCTATAAAGGAGATTAAAATAAGAGCTTGGATTCTGAGCAATTCCAGTTATATGGCCCATTTGTTCTTATCCTATACAAAACAGGCCAAAGTTGGCTATGGATGAACCAAAGCTGAAGTAAGCTTCCAGTAAGAAAATCAGAAAGGAAATCCAAAAGTTATAAGTATATGTTTTCTCCGTGGAAAATAAGTCCAACTAGAATGTTTTATGAATATCATGCTTCTTAAATGATAAAGCTTTTTGTTTCAAATCCTGAGTGTCTTCCAGCTTAAGACCATGCCATACTCATTTTGGCAAAATCAAGCTTCCTGATGTAGAGGGGAGCTGCTGCATCTGAGTATAGGATTTAGGATTTGGATTTAGGAGAACCAGCTCTTTGGGCTTTCTCTTTGCTACTTGGTGCTAGTATTGTCAGGGCTGGCCAGTGTGTGTGTGTGCCCTGTCTCCCAACTTGTCCCTGTTTCTCCTGAGGATCAGTGCTGGCTTGGCCAGAGACCTTTGGGCACTATCTCTCACTAAGGAGTCAAATGCAAATAACCTGGGAGCTTATTTGAAAGCTATCGAATATGACAAAGCTGGTTATAGAATTTGGCCACACTCTTAGTTTTGCACAGCATTTTACCCTCCTGACCAAGACTCTTTACATTTCTGTTGTGCAATGATTCTTGAACAGGAAAATGAGTCAGAGACACTAAGTAATTTTCACAGGAACTGACGGTACGCCAGGCCGATGCTTAACTACTCAATTCCCAAAGTTTGCGACTGATGTTCCAAGAACCAATAAAAATTAATCCTTAGTGTTTCTTTAAAATGCAGTGCTAACGTCTAGCTCCTAGCCACTAATAAAACAGTTTTTTAGAAGCTGCATACTCCTTCTTGGATAATAAAAGCATTTTTTGTTGCAGTAAAAAATTATTTTTTAATGTTCCCAGATCTCCAGTGAGACAAAGTGGAATTTTGACAGCCTTTCTAAAGAATAATAATAATAATAAATTATTGGAATTTAACAAAGAGGAAAAATTTTCATTTGAAAGGTAAAATATTACCAAATGTAAAATACATTGGAATACAGATATTTTCCTTCAACAGTGACCATGCAGTGTTTGTGACACCGTACCATTAGAAAAACAATGCAATTGACACTCCACTATGCAAACACCACCAAAACAGCCATAACTACGTAAGGAGGTCTCACAAAGCTGAAGAATTTGCTTTATTTTCTAATAGTTTTGAGATCATATGAGTTGAACTCTGCTTCAAGAAATGCCCAATTTTGAAATAGCAGAGATGCTGAGTACTAAATTTTAGACAAGTAAAAAGAAGGTTCCACAATAAAGAATCTTTCTCATTGGCTGTTAAGTATGATCAGTGTCATTAGTGCTTAATCCCTATCAATACAAATTTTAAAAAATTGTTTTTAGTCCAATGCTCTAGTTTTAAAAGATTACTTTAAAATAAAAGGTGGAGATGCTCTCACATATTATCTCAATTAGCTTAAGGGTGGAGGGCCAGGGGTCAATGGCTTTATTTCCAGTTTAGAGATGGGAAAAGCATGATCCACAGAGAGATCAAGATATCTATGCAGATCCAGAGTCACTTGTGGAGGAACTGGGACCTGAAGCAGGTAGCCTGAGTATCAGCGTGGTACAGTAAAAGATGTGAATTGGCGTCAAGCTACTCAAGCTCTATAAACCTCAATTATCTGGGAACATGCTGGACACAACTTCACATATCTCAAAAGGCTGTTGAGAATAAAATCAGATAATTGTATGAAAGTACTCTGTATGTCAGAAAATAACAGACAACCAAAATTATTATTCTAATACATGCTAAGGGCTGTTTCCTTTAGCTTTTCTTTCTTTTTATTAAAAACTGCTTATTTCAATCTTAATTAGTGCTAACTGCATTATCACAAAAGAGATATTTCTTAAAAAATAACACTGATTTTATTTTGAGCATATATTTATTTACAAAGCATTGCTCAGCTCATGCAATTAAAATTTTGACACAAGTATAATTTCATTAAATATATACACTTTGCAGGGTATTATTTAATTTTTCCCCATAAAAGATGTGAACTGGGCAAAATCGACAGCTATCTTGTAAAGAGCATGAATCATTCTGTTATATTTTAGGACCAAGTTTGAATCCACTTTCTAAGAGTAAAATCTGGCTATGATGCTGCATCATAGAAAGGAGGAGCAACTGGATCTCTCAGGGATGTGATCTGTAAACAGAGCATTGACTTAGGGAGCAGTGAACTTCTAAGTCAGGCAATTTGGAGCCGGTTGTTTCGTTTCCATCTTAGAAGCTCAACCATAAAACTGATTTAGGACCTACCACACCCATGTGGCAGGGACAGCTAGCTGTTCACAAAAATCCACGCTCCCCTCTCATAAAGTTGTCAGTAGAAGACAGCTGTCCGGCCAGGGATGACGTTTCTGCTGCCTGCACCCAGGTAGAACCATGGGGTTAATTTCTACCTATAGGAGTGGAAGTTTTATAGGTCACTTCTGAGCCAGGTTTCACTTTGTTTTGTTTTGTTTTTAAGCAGTGCCTATTCCAGTCTCTTTGTCTCTGCTTATTGGCTGGATCCAGAGAGCTCCAAAGCTCTAGACAGGACCACAGATCGAAGGTGCCTGGGTCCCTGAGTCACTGTATGGAGAAAAGCTGCCCTGTCCACTGAGCAGGTGTTCCTGCCCTGGAGCGTTCTGTCAGGGAAAATAAGCTTCTACTGTGTTAAGCTACACTAAAGGTTGGGTTTACAGTTATTATAGCAGCTAAGTAATACACCCTATTTACAGCACTGTTATAAAGAGTGATGATATGTTAAATATACTTCTTTTAATCAAACATTTAAAAAGTAAAAAAATAAAAACAAAAAACCTTGTTCTTAAAAAGAAACTGTTACCTTTATCACAATTGACTCCATAGAATCCAGGTGGGCAGATGCAGAAACCAGGAGTAACACAAAGCCCGCCATTCATACATCGTGGTGTGCAAAGGGCTGGTAGGGAGAGAACTCTGATTAAGGTCAAATTGGGTTTTTGAGCAGGAGCGTTTTAGAAATGTCAATAATACCATAGGTCTACATTTTCAAGCTTTGTTGTTGACTCAAAAATGGCCACCCTTTAGAAATGCAAGTTCTATTTCTTTAGAGATACAAGCTGTCTTGTATCTCTAAAATTATTTTTGCGCTATAAATAAATTTTTTTTTCATATCAGACTATTTTTTTAACCGATTTCATGTAAGAGAATTTTGGAGTTGTTCCATTGGAATGGCTGATTAAAATTTGCCCAAAATCATTATTTCAACTAAGATATGGTCTTCCTAAGATTATAAGTATTTTTTCCTGCCCTATTTCCTTGATCTTCTAATTCCAAAATAAATGCCAACAAGAAAAATTCTTATTTCTTGAAGATGAAAAATATTTTGATTATTCTGGTCAAATAAGCTCTTAGTATTTAAGCATCTTGTGATTGATGCACATTTTATTGTTTATCTCTTTTCATATAACTTTCTTAATAGTAATTTCATTTAAATGGATGTACTCACTGCAAAAATGATATTCATCCTTTTTTGGCTTATAGCAACTTTATAACTCAGGTGCAGTACACTTAATTGTGAATCAAGCTACTTTTGATTGGAGTAGATATTTTCAAATCAATCATAATACTAGCTTTTAAAATGCAATTTAAGTAGAGTAAAAAAACCCCTCAAAACTTTTATAAGATTATGCCAAAGTATAGTGTATATAATACTGAATATTTTGAGGGGAGGAGTGGCCACAAAGAATATAGACATTGTGCCAAAGTTCTCTGCCCATCACCACATATTGGATTTAACAGAAAACCACTCTTAGAAGAAATACTTTCCAATAGCTCTTCTGTACTTTAAAAGATTTCACCAATCCTTATAATGTGACCAAAAAAATAATTTCAGGGGATGTGTTAAAAATACATTTAGGCTCCTGGGTGACATCCATTTCATTAAGAAGCAAGCACTGGAAGCTGGCACTCTTGGTTCTTTACCTTTCTCACAGTGAGGTCCGTAGAATCCATCAGGACACTCGCAGACGCGTCTTTCATTACAAAAACCTCCATTTCGGCACCCTCCGGGGCATTCAGCTTCACCAAAGAGAAACAAAGTGTGATGGACACCTCTGAAATCATGTGTGGCAAGTTGCAGCGAGCATGAGGAGGTCAGTGGTCATTTCTCCCCAGTGCACCAATGATCATAATATATCGAATACTGATATTTCTACCATGTTCTATACCATTTGTACTTCACTAAGTCTTCCCCAAAGGAAGATTTTGCATCTCTCAATCTTATTTCCAACAATAGGGGGCTCATGGAAGAAGGCAAAGCAAGCAAAGCAAGCTTTATTCTGCCTTCATCCCCACCTATCAATCTACTGTATGTCCTTAAATTCATGCTGAAATAGAATATATGCTAGTGCCCTCAGTATTCACTTTCAGAGGGTGGGATGACTTTTAGGCACATCTTTAGAGCACTGAAAGCTTCCAAAGCTTAAATTCGGTGCTGGAAAAGTCCTGTATCCCAATGGGAAAGGAGCTAGGCCTCCATGCTTAAATGGGCATGCAGGTTGTGGTAGTGAGGTGCCTTTGCCTGGCAGAGATCACTGGTATGACAGTGGCACCCTGTCCTCTGTGGAAGTTGGGCAGGGGGCAAGGGGAGCGTTACCTTGACAGGTAGGTGGACGTTGCTGGTAATGGCTGCCAACCCAGCTATGAGGACTCAGAGTAAGAAAAGGGGGGAAATTCATGACCATAGGTTAGATACCCCTGGGGACTCCCAAAGTTTGTGTTAGAGGAGAGGAAGAAGAGAAGGAGAAGAGAGGACATTTTGAAGGCGGTATTAGCGTTCTTAAAATTGTGAGTGGGGTCAAAGCTGAGAAAGTCTGTCTTCGTACTGTTACTGGGCCCTGTGTTTATCACCCTCTTCTCCCATTGATGTGATTACAATTATACAAACACTTAACCTACCTACCTAGTAACCTATCTATCCACCCATCTAAAAATTTTGACCCAAATCACACCTGGAAGCCTTATGAGATTTCTCTCGAATCAGCATTACTGATTACCTTGTTGACACGTTTTAAAGAAGATAGCATTTTGAGGTGTCTGTAGGATGGTGTTGCCTTCAGAATTCATTACAATCACATTCACTTCAAATGCTGCCACTCCGTCTTGTTTTCCAAGACATGGGAAACCAACTTGAACAACTAAAGAAAAGAAAATATAAAGAAACAGTTTATCTAGTTGATTCCAGTTTTACAGAAATCTTGGTAAGAGAGATAAAGAACAAAGCACCAATATTCACATTCCATCATCTGACATTGGAGCAGGTAGTGTATTGGATCATGTGGGTGTTCTCCATAGAACTTGTACATCATGCTGGGTAGAGAAAGAATGAATGACCCCCATGAATTTGCATCCTACCAACATGGAATTGGGGATATTTTGTTTGTAGTCTGAGCTTGTACTATCTTGAAAAGATTTTCTCTGAAAATTAAAGGTGCAAATAGGCAGCATAGATTAATTAGGGGAAGAAACTGTGGGCACCTTCACCAGCCTCCAAAAAACAGCTAAAAATCAACATTTTAGAGTCCACTAAATAAAGCCCTCTAAGCAATACCCCACTGGTTTATTTTTACTCTGTTTGCTTGAAAATGATGAAATACCTTCTTTGGAAGTATTCTATAACTCAGGCTAGACTCCAGTCATTGGAATGAGTTAATGAAGTTAATATTTTCCCAGGCTGTTTGCTAATATTAAGAAGTGTTATCTTGGGGATCCAGAAGAGAGTTTTGTGTGATGTAATAATTTCATGCTAGGCATATATCTAATGATTTAAGTTCCTAAAGAGGGAATACTTCTTTTTTGTGCTACTAATGATCACTTGGGGTGTGCAGGTGTTGACTAAACAAAGAGTGGGAACCACGATGTTGCTGTACAGAGAGGGTGAGGCCACCAATTGTGGAATACCCAGAAGTCATTGGGTAGAAATTGGCTCAAGTCATTGGCTGGGAGACTGATTATGTAAATTTCTAAAATCCACTGTATTATCATAACATATCCACTGGAAAAGACTGACCTAGCTGATCCACACGACTTTAGTTCTTCTTTACAAATAGAAAGAAAATTGCTAATAGGTAAACATATGACATTTTGTTTTATTTTCTGTATGGCAAGTTACGGTTACTGCCAAGTTTGGAAAAATCATAGTAAGCCAAGAAAAATCCTTTCCTGTTAGAGTTTTCATAAACCTTTCCCCTAGGTTTATAAGAGAAAAAAAAATGAGCTGGAAATGGGTCTGCTCTTTTCCATAAGGCATTGTACACAAGTCACACAATCTTCCTTCTTAACGTGCTCTGGCAACCAAAACACCCCTCTTGAGGTTTTGGCATTGTCAGTGTTCATTACTGTGCCAGTCTCAAAATAACATGAATTTCCAGCTCTCCTGAATCTTAAGATGTGTACATTGCAAATAATTAAATAATGAAAAGAATATACACATATTTTAACTGAACTAAAAAGAGAGAGAAAACCAAAATTGCGTCTGAAGTTCCAAAGTAAAATTGTCCCCATTGAAAGCCTTGGTTTCATGAAATCTTATATATGAAAATAACAATTTACAAAACATAAAAATTCATTGTAGGGATTTCCCTTTGAGAAGGAAGCAAAGGAGCTGACAAATAATTTCTTTCACTTAACTCTCCTAATTCATTTTCATTTAATTGTTATAAAATTTTATTCATCTGTCTCATGAATATTTTGCATGATGGGTGGGCCAATAATTGCCCTGAGGCATGAAAAGATGGAAGAACCTGAAACGGTACTTAAAGGTAGAACTTTAGAATCTTACTCACCACATGTCATCATCCAAACTATTATTTTCCTTTTTCCTCAACCTTATCCAGCCTCTACTTTGCAGCCCACCTAATTCTTTTTAAGTGGCACTTTAGTTTTATTTTAGCTTTCAGAATCTTGGTATGAAAGAAGGTGTTTGTAAGTAAACTCTTCAAGTAAACTTATCAGCATTGTCAAATTTTAAAACATAACTTGAATGCTAAAATATAAAAAAATGTCTTATTATATGTATGGGAAATTCAGTTAAGAACAGTTACTAGTTCAATCCATATTTTCAGATGTGGTAAAAGCAGAAAAAGTCAATAACCATATGACTTCACTCATATGTGGAATATAAAACAAAAAGCAACAAAGGAACAAGACAAGCAAACGAAACAAAAACTCGTACACACAGATGACAATTTAGTGGTTACCAGAGGGTAAGGAGGGAGGGGAATGGTAGGAGAGGGAAAAAGGGGTCAAATAAATGGTGATGGAAGGAGAACAGACTCTGGGTGGTGAACACACAATATGTAGATGATGTTTTATATAAATGTACACTTGAAACCTATATAACCAATATCACCCCAATAAATTTAAAAACAAACCATTTACAAATCTGGTTAAATTATTAATACATATTCACATACTCGTGTCATCAGGGGTGCTTTTAGAGGGTTTGGAGTGCTCACGTAAAGTCTGTGATTTGTTAACATGGCCTCTAAGTCAGAGAAAGTAAAGAGATGCACAGAGTTTCCTGGCCTGTGGTTCTAAAAAACTTGGCTCTGAACAATCCCAGGGAAGAAACAAAGATGCAAAATCCAATAGAAAGTTCAATGAGAAAAACATACCATAAATATCTTTCTTTAAGGTTTTCAAGATGAATTTTTCACTTTAAATAGTTAAATACAAATTTGAATCAAAATACAAAGAGTTCATCCATTCAATAAATATTTATTGAGTGTTTACTGTGTGCCAGTCACTTTTGTAAACCCTAGGGATACTTTAGTGAAGAAAGCAAATAGAAACCCTGCCCTTTTTGGTGCTTATGTTTCAGTGATTTTTTCTGAAGACATTTTGTGATAGTAAAATATTTTAATCATTTAAAAATTTAGAAAAATATCCATTCATCCATTGATAGACACTTAGGTTGTTGCTATGGCTTGGCTATTGTAAATAATGCTGCAGATATCTGAGTTAGCATTTTCATTTCCTTTGGATATATTCCCAGAAATCAAGTTGCTGGATCATATGGTAGTTATATTTTTAATTTTTTGAGGAACCTCAATACTGTTTTCCATTGTGGCTGTACCAATTTACATTCCCACCAACAGTGCACAAGGGTTCCCTTTTCTCCACATCCTCACCAGCATTTGTTATCTCTTGCCTTTTGATAATATGTATTCTAAGAGGAGTTTACCTAATGACTAGCGATGTTGAGCACCTTTTCACTTACCTAATGACCTTTCATATATCTTCTTTGGAGACATGTCTACTCAGGTCCTTCGCCCATTTTTAAATAATTTTCTCTTTGCTATTGATTTATATTGGTTCTTTATATACTTTGGATATTAACCCTAACCAGATATATGGTTTACAAATATTTTTTCCAATTCCATAGGTTTTCTTTTTTCACTTTGGTGATCATTTCTTTTGCAAAAGCTTTTGAGTTTGATTAGTCTCATGTTCTATTTTTTATTTTATTGTTTGTGCTTTAGGTGTCACATCCAAAAAATCATTACCAAGACCCATGTCAGGGAGCTTTATTCCTGTGTTTTCTTCCAGGAGTTTCATGGTTTCAGGATGTACACTTAAGTCTTTAATCCATTTTGAGTTAATTTTTGTGAGTGGTGTGTATGTTAGCCTCATATTCAATAACTGGCTTTTGGGAAACCTGTGCTTTGCCCAGACTAGGTTCCTTTCAGTCCCCAGACATGTGGCGCATGTCCACGGTGCCCTGACTCTGCACACCCATTCCCCTGCTTGGAATGTTCTTTTTCCTCTTTTCTGTCTGGTATCCTCCCACTTACCTTTCAAGATGAAAATTAAACAGCACTTGCTCTCTGTAGCCTTCCCTAACATCCCCTGCCTATATCACTTCCCTTATATATTTCACAAACACCTCTATATGATTGCATTATGATATAATGATTTAATTATGATTCTGCATCTTTTGCTAAGGATGAGATTTTTAAGGGCAAGGACCATAGCTTATGTGTTTTTGTAATCTCAGCACCTAGTATATTATCTGTTACAATTTAGGCACTCATAGAATCAAAGATACACCTGACGGGAGACACACTCATATACTTACACATGCAGGTATACACTTGCACATACACACACATGCACAGTCACATACAAGGAAGACAAAAATTCACCATAGACAGTGGGAGAGATAGAGAATAAAATATTAGTAGTATTAGCAGAAACACACACACAAAAGATAAGAGACATTGAAAACAGAAAAAGCATAAACTCTCTACTTCCAAGGAGGAATAGAAATGTAGAAGTTAAGTTGTGTGTTTGCAACAATGAGCGTATTAGTAGAGAGCCACTTTTACCAAAAGCTAGATGCTGTAAAATCCCATGTATTTCAGGTTGTACTATCAAAACCAAGGTAAATTAAAACAACTCAGAAAAACTAAAGCAGATTGAACATAGTTCTCATTGCTTTCAAGTACACACTGATTGTACAGAAACATAGTCATATATAGATTAATCAGATACGTTCCTTGATAAAACGTGTTCTGATTAAATACCTCTTCCACACTGAGATGGGCATGGCGCTTATATAGTTTCAGTCTCTGGTCATGCGAGCCACTGCCCTCACAAAGAAAGATGTGACAAAGGCGGGCCAGTGCTCATCCTCAGCACCAACACCACGTGATTTTAAACTGCCACATGCTTATAAATCATTCTACACAGAGTCATCCATGCTCCAAGCTGTGCAGACAGCCATTCAATCTCTCACCAACTACTGAGCACCTACTCTGGGCTTCACTTTATGCTAAGGACTGGGTCCCCAAGAAGAAGGTCCTTCCAGCATGAGTACCTATTTAAAAATTTCTAGACATTGGATTCCTGACAGTCTCGGTTGAGAAACACCACTGCTTTGTTGGTTTCACTGTATGACAGAGTCAGAGTGTTCAAAGAGGCAAAGCCTTGGCTTTATGGAAACTTTATGTTTTTTGTTATCCAACTAAGTGATTTTACTGAACCACCCTGCAGTTTGTATTTCCTGTTTTTGTTCTCTTCGGATGCCAGAAGGCAGGCACTTCATAACTGTTAAAGATCAAGAGTTTTCTTTTTTCATGCAATGTTTAGGCATATAGGAATCTGTGGGATGAAAGAACAGCTTAGCAGCTTGGGGGTATAAAATAGACCAGTGGAATAATGAACACTACCTGGATGCTTAGGAGCTAAGACATACTGATTCGGTTATTTTTTAATAATTCAAGGTACCCTCACTTCTCCTACTGTGGGGACTGAACTAATGAGGCTAATGAATAACTGCACTGCAATGGGTGAAAACTCCCATAAACTTCTTCCACCTGCATTTTTTTTTTTTTTGCAAACAAATCCTACATCTGCCTCCAAAAATCTATTTGTGTGGGGGTAGAGTTGTACATACAGGATGTACAACTGTGTGTGGACAACTCTGTGTGTGTGTGTGTGTGTGTGTGTGTGTGTGTACGCACGTGCACAATTCATCTGGTCTCAGAAGGCTTATTGTTTTTCACGTTTCCTTGTTCAAAGTATCATCCATTTTTTTCTCTAAATTTTATTACTTATAAAGATTCTAAATTATTAGAAAATGATGTATTTAAACATGATCTATTAAAGTATTCTCACATATGTTTAGAATCTCATTGTTTCAATATCCTAAGAAGTAGAATTTCAGTAAGCTTTTTTTTTTCTACACACAAAAAGTAAATAAAACTGGGAAGATTTAAGATACAAGCATTAAATTAGAAATCCCAAAAGTCAAGACTTATTGGAAGTTGAGCAGGTATAACTGTGCAATTAATTTAATTATGCATTTTAATTGGCTACAATGAGCTTATATTTGTTTAATAATCAGAAAAAGACAAAGGAAAAAAATTCCACAAAATAAAATGGAAACTGAGAGACACGTTATTTATTTGTTTTATTTTCCTGACTCTTTAAAAAAATATATCTGATCAAGAAAAATTTTATGTAAAATTATCTTTGACTAAAAAGGAACATGACATGAGACATGTGACATGGCCATATTCCAAGAACTTAGTGTTCAGAGTGTCCTTCTTGTCTGCCCAGCAATGCCATCAGAGTGGGATTGGGATGTCCATGTCTCTGGAATTGGAGTATCCATATCCTTGGGGCTACAAATTGTAGGCCAATGAATCTCCAGTACCCCAGGCCTCACTTCACATGAGTTTCCTAGAACCTTGAACCTATCCAGATTGGAAGCAGACCCTCTTGAGAGGACTACTAGTCATATCTGCAGCACTGGGATGACCCAAGAGAAACACAAATTCACTCTTCCTGTTTGTGTCCAAACTGGCGCTTATGCCAGGAAAATAGAAAAACTTTGTGCTTATTTAGTCCCCAGCTCTTACAGCACTGGTAGTGGCGATACATATCCATTGGAAGTAGTAGATGACTGCAAACTGAAAATGGACTTTGTAAGGGTGCCTGATTTCCTGATGATTTCATAGATTTAAATTAGTTCCTATTGAGATTTTCATTTGACACCTGACAAAATTCTCCCGATGTCCCTCTAGAAGAACAAGATTACTAAAAAAAAAAAAAAAGGAGGCAAGGTTATGCTATCCATTATTTTAAAATATAAAACTACAAATAATTTCAGTATTAGAACACACAGAAAGCTCTCTTGAATTAATTCAACCTTTCACATTGGAAAAGTTGATGACTCAGAAAAATAATTCAGGTTAGACCCTTACCTCATACTGTACCAAAATAAATTTTTATACAACACTAAAAGCATGTGCAAGTTATCACTTAACTATTCTCTGGAATAGCAATTAATTTCCAAGCATAAAAGGAATAGGAAAAAAATCACAAAAGAAAAGAGGTTTGACCACATAGAATTTTAAAGTCCCTTCAAATTCCACCCCCTCAAAAAATATACAAATAATAAATTGAAAAGAATTGCAATTCAGAGTATATACTTTATAGTGAGCTTGGCAAATCAATAAGAACACTATTATTTCAATAAAAAAAATGAGCATGGTATACAGGCGTTTTACATAGAAACAAGACAGGAATTTTAAAAATCAAATTAAAATAACACCGAGAAACCACCTGTCACTTTTTAAGTCAGCAAACTAGTTAACGTGATTAATAACCCTTGCTGATGAGGTTACAGTAAGCCAGGCACTCTCCCACACTGCTAGCCAGGGTACAAATGGGCCCGAGCTTTGTGGAAAGTAATTGGCATTTTGGCAATTTGCTATAAAAGCCTTTTAAAAAGTTCCTAGTTCATATCCTTTGACACAATAATTCTACTTCTGAGAATCTGTTTTACCAAAATAATGAGATGAGCACCCAGATCTTGCACACCCATTAATCCCCAAGTATTTTCTGAATGCCTGCCCTGTGTTGGGTCCTGTGTTGGCAATTGTGGTGAATAAGACAAAGAGGATTCCTGCCCACTGACCATCCATTACTTAAAAAGATGTATATTGTGAGATTTCTAGATTCAAACCCTGAAAACAGGATAAGTAACAATGAAGGAATGGGTAAGTAAATTATGGTATGTTCATAAAACAGAATATTGTAAGAGCACTAAAAACCATTTTTGGAAAAATCTATGGCACAAGAAAATGCTGATGTTAAAATGTTAAAAGCAAAAAAAAGTCATGATGCAAAACCAAATATATAATTTTATCACAATTATGAAAAAAATGTATGTTCATAGAGAAAAGACTAGATGGAAATATTTGAACATGTTAACATAAGTGATCTCTGTTTTTCTAAAAGTCGTAACACCTGGGCTCCAGTCTCACTCAGCTCCACTGCTTATTGCAAATATGTGCCTTGGAGAAAGTCAGTTAAACATCGTAAGCCTTAATTTTCTAATTTGTAAAATGGAGCTGTAATTCTGGCCTTGATTCCTTCCCAGAACTCAAATTAGATAACACATGAGTGGGTGCTTTGTAAACTGAAAAGCTCTAACTAAATATAACATACTATTATTTTCTTAGCAAAGAAGGATGATTAGATCTGAAAGACTAAACCCCTTTCTTCCACTTTTTTATACGGAAAATTCCTATTCAATACAGTAGTCCCCCCTTATCTGTGAGGGATATGTTCCAAGATCCTGAGTGGACGCCTGTACCAAGCTCTATACATACTATGTTTTTTCCACATACCTATGATAGTTTAATTTGTAAATTAGACACAATAAGAGATTAACCATAACTACTATAAAATAGGACAATTATAATAATATACTGTAATAAAAGTTATGTGAATGTGGTCTCTCTCAAAATATCTTAATGTGCTTTATGGCTTCTCTTTGGCATAGCCAGGTGACCAGCATCACTACTCTTGCACTTTGGGGCCATTATTGAGTAAAATAAGGATGACTTGAACACAAGCACTGCGATAGACAATCTGATAACTGAGACTGGTGGGCAGCATGTACACTGTGGAGACACTGGACAAAGGGATGACTTTCATCCCAGGCTGGACAGAGGAGAAAGTGCAAAATTTCATCATGCTACTCAGAATGGCGCACAATGTAAAAGTTATGAATTGCTTATTTCTGGAATTTTCCATTTAATATTTTCAGACCATAATTGTCCAGTGGTAACTGAAAGTGAAACTGCAGATAAAGGGGGACTACTGTACAATGCTCACTTTTGGGAAGTTTTTCTTGACTTATCCTATTTGCTCCCAATCATTTATTTTGTGTCTTTGCCACATTTTCGTATGTGTACTACATTAATCCACACTCACTGGCCAGATATATCACACCTGACGACTTTCTTTTTTTAATCTGGAATTATATGAACTGGGGCTACCTAGAGTTTTTAGGAAATTATGAAACTGCAATTTCTTCAATCCCATCCTAATTTTTTGCCTAAAGGATATTAAGGACATAACAACTGAGCTGCTCTAAAATCAAACAATCTCTTCAGAAAAATATTCCATAATCCCTCTACTGGGTGACATCTGGATCTTAAATATTATTCCCATCACCATTACATTTTCAGTGTAAACCCTTCTCTGAGGCAAAGACCACCCACCTGATGCCTTGTGAGGCACTGTTCCCAGCAGAGGGACATTGACGGTTGGATCTGCCATGATGCCTTTATCCAGGGAGCGCAAGGACAGGAATTCATAGAAGTATTCTGCCTACAACAAAAGGCATTGACAGTCAGTATCATGGAAACCATCGAGGGTGAGAAGGCAGTTTTAACCTCATCATCCCTTTGATGGGAAATCTGGAGCATGCAACGTCTAAAATGTTGTGTAGGCATAACTCACCCTTCTGGGTTTTAAAGCCCTAGAATTAGACTCTCTGTTTGGCGAGAAGTGATCCTTTAAAAACATTAATAACATTTATCCAAAATACCCACAAGGAGCCTTTTAGCTAAAATGATATTATTTAGTTGCTGTCTCTTAAAAGGATTGAGAAAAAATGCTCTTAAGGAAACAAGGGATGTCAAAACAATCATCAGCTCGCCCTTAGAAAATCCATCTCAGCTTCTTGGTAAGTCTTTAATTCTTTTCAAGTCTGAAATGAGTCTTTTGATCAGCATTTGGAAAGCTGTAATAAATAAGGACTAATTAAAGCAGCAATCTATGGGCAAAAGAAGATATTAAAGTCCAAAACTTAATGATCCTGCTGTTAACATTTATTTTTCAGTCTCATTCCCTTTGAAAGCCTTATATTTAAGGCCTAATTTAATTATGAAAAGAAAAGCCTAAAAATGCAAAATTCACCACCATAATATGACAATGAGCCATAAAACATTACATTGTAAACAGTTTCATTTTCCCACTAAGTCTCTGAGAAAATGGTTCCTGCTACTTAAACGCCCATGACATACTGAAAGTAATGATGCATAATCTCACTCTAGAGCTTTAGTTCTGATTCTTTTGTTTTTTCTTTTTCTTTTTCTTTTTTTTTTTTTTTAAGCTGAGCCATCCTGCCACCTGTTGGCAGCTCAGCGGCTGCTCAGCTCGGGCTGGGAAATGAACCGCTGTTGCTCAGAGCTCAAACTCTTGAGCGAGCTCTTAACCAACTGAGCCACTTGGCCGGCCTGAGTTCTGATTCTTAACTGGGTTATTAGAAATGTTTGGAATGGGAGTTCTAGTCAAGATGGTGAAATAGGTAAACACTGTGCTTGCCTCCTCCTGTGACCACATTAAAATTACAACTAAAGTATAGAACAAGCAACCTGGAGAACTATCTGAAGACTAGCTGAACAGAAGTCCTATAACTGAAGATATAAAGAAGCCACGTCACCACTGAATATTAGCCATTGCTCTTAATAAATATATTATAAAATGATGCAAGTATTTAAAACAATAAAACAAGTTGAGAATAAAAACAATGTGTTCTTACTTGGGAATAAAGAACAATCAATAAATAATGCAGATGTTAAAATGAGAGTTAGACAAGTTGATTGGTTCTGCAGTTATCTGTAGAAATAGCCAGAATTTGGATGGGTTAATTAATGAGATTAATTATATAAACATAGGCTAGAAAGAGGTTAAGAAAATATATGGCCTTTCTTATATGCAGTATAAAATTTATTTTCCAACATAGAAGTTATTAAGAGATACACAGTAGACATTCACACAACTTTCTGCTTTAAATGACAGTATCAAATGTATTAGGCTTTAAGGACTTCATATGAGAATGATAATGCAAAAGCCATGGTCTCAGCTGCTATGGGGACATTGTCTACACTTGCAGTGAGTTGAAGAATACTTCCTGGTTTCACTAGGCCAAAAGGAGCACCTTCTTTGACCAAAATCCCACTGCAGCCCCTCTTTGAGTTGCAGCAGTGGTTCTAGAAGACCACTGTGAAGGGTTCTCTAGGAGGGTAACATAGTTTTGTGAATTATAAAATTTCACTAGGAGGGCTCTAAGGATAAAGGGCCATAAGACAGCCAATTGCTACCCTGTCTAAGGGAAGCAGAAAACTGCAAGTCTCACGAAAGGAGTATTGTCAGGAAAGGTAATTCAATTTGGAATGACTTCCTTCAAAAAAAAAGAACATTGGGGTGAATGGTTGGCTCAGTTGGTGAGAGCGTGGTGCTGATGACACCAAGGTTGCTGGTTCCATCCCTGCGTGGGCCACTGTGAGAGGTGTCCTCCCTAAAAGAGTCAACTATGCCATTGTAGCATGAAAAAGAGAACATTATTTCTGTCCCTTAAGGGAAACCAAGGACTATTAAAAGTGGACTACTACTTAAGATAGCTTTTCACAAATCCTGGTGCTTTAAATGACTTCTCCCAGCTGCACTACCCTCTACACTTTACTAGACAATATTTATCATTTAATATTTTGTTCCAAAACATATTTTAGTTGGCATTATGAAAAAATTGAGTGCTGGATGTGCTCATAATTAATAGCTTTTGGGTTATTTATATTACCAACTACAGTAATAGCAACTAGTGACAATGACACAACAAACACCCATGTGTACATATCATGTGCCAAGGCTTATTCTAAACATATGTATTAACGGTACATATAATGATGGAAAAGAATTGAGTGGATAGAGTGCAAACACTGTGAAAATAAAACATTTTAGTGGCTATATTGCTTCTAATACCCTCTAATAAGTTATCATTTTATGCTCCATAATTATATCCATAATTATATCACATTATAAATTAAATCTACATTTATATTGGTGGTATATTTAAAATTACATTTATAAAAACTAATATAATTTCACTAAGTTTTAAAAATTATTTTTTGTATTAGTAAGAAAAAGGATGACTAGACACCAAGAAAAAAAACTAGACACCAAGATTAAAACAATGATTGCATAAGATTGATGGTAACTCATTTTTTTCCCTTTTCTCTCCTTTCCAAATTTTCTACATGTACTTCCATATCTTTCATACTGAAATAAATGCATTTATTTAAAGACAAACATTAATCGTGTACCCTGCTTTCTATTCTGAGTGGCGGCTGATAATCACTGGCTCTATTGGTATAATTCTCTGATCATAGATGTAATATTCTTCTCAGACTTCTATTTAGTGTGGCTGTACTCAAGTAACAATTTCATTTAAAACTCTTGCATGTCCCCTTGAAAGTGTGCTTCAAGAAACCAACACTCAGTATTAAACTGGCTTCTGAATGTCTCCTCCCAAAACTTTTGATGATGTTCAAAGAATGTGGACCTGAAAGAAATTCACTCAGAATTCAGATACAACTTCATAAAGCATTTGGGTCTCCTGTTGTTACTTTTGGGTATGGCCACAGAAAGTAGGCTGGAAAGCATGGAATGCATTATATTCAGTATCAGAGAGTTTATAATTAGCATTGGCATGACTGCTCAACATGATGCATCTAGGCTTAATGGACTTCTCTGGACAGCCCAAACTTTCATCTTATCAACAACAAATTTCACGCTATCGAGGTTATAAGATGTCCCTTTGATTTGTTTGAGAATCAGTAAACATCATGGTTTTTCTACCACAGTTCTAAGACTGTATGTATCACAAGTCAAGAATGGGTCAAAACAGATTCTTTCTTGGATCTTATCAGCCAAAGGCAGTTGCCAGAGTCAACTTTGTTTGTCTTTCTTGGTGAAGATGATAATGTTTCTATAATCTCTGAAGTATACAATTTTCTTCATACTTGGTATATTTTTTTAAATGTGTTTGTTCATGTATTGTTTTCACTGCCTTATTAAAAATTCCAACTTGAAAACCACTTGGAAATTGCCCAACCCTTTGTCTCTGATCTTGACACTGACTTCTTTCAGTTTCACTTCGTCATTATAAAGAGATCTACCAAAACCACCAATACCATATAAATATTTCTATAAATAATCATCACCAGGAGGTAGAGACAAAATATATTCCTTATTTAACTTAAAAACTTAAATATTTCCTTCAAAATCATAGAAAATGGCTGATGAGATAAGCGATAGATTTGTAATGTCACATTCTAACTTCGAGACAGGACATTCTGTTTTTACTTTATTCACAATATAATAAATATATTTAGTCCCAAACCTCTCTACTGGAAAAACTTATTTTAGGGCAAAGAAAACCTAAATTCTCTGCCAAAGAGAACAGAGAGCTAGCCTTAAAGTTTGGGAACAAGTTTCACAGATTGTAGATTTATTACTTGGATAAAAGGAACTCAGAGCATGAATTGTAATAGGGAAGTGGCATATTGGAGAGCATGAAAACTCTGTTAGGAAAAAGTACAGTTTGTTGCATTAAATGACACTAATGGAAACTCAGACAGAGGCAAGGAGGGTGACTATTTGGGAAACACATGAAAGATTGCCTTGTATTCAAACAAAGAATGGGTTTATTCAGGAGAAGAATTCACTTCTAAATTAAATTGCTAAAAAATCGTGCTGGCCTTGTTTGCCACGCAGTAAATTTTCCTTTCATGGAGAAGAATAAAAGACACAAATATTATCAAGAAAGGAGTGTTGGAGGCCATCTAATTTGCTTCTAAGACACTTGGCTGAATATTTGGGTTGTTCTTTCCAGAAGTGATGAAGATATCATTTAAAACAGCAAAATGGGACAAGTCAGGAGGCCTTCAACTGACACTCTTTTTTGGGGTAGATATGGAGAAAGGAAGCAGAGAATTGCATTAACCATTGGGAGGGATGGAGAAAATCCACTATTTCTTTCCCACCTTTGAAGTTCTGGGTTTATGGTGTATACTTAATCTAATAAGCACAATAATTGCAGGAACCTCTGAGTTAAGAATCAAGGGTTCTTCATAAAACCATGAAGGCTCTCAGAGGCTCTCAAACCTCTTTTAACTTCATGTATCCTGATGCTGACCCAAATGCCCATGGGAGAACATGAAAACAATAAAGGTATCATCTTTGTCCCAAAGAAAATTTCAGGCGGCTTAGAAACACAAAACATACAAAAGGTAGGAAAATTTACAAATAATTTTTGTTGAATGTTTATTATACTCCAGTCACTGTTCATAATTCTCACAACAACCTACTATTTTTATAGCCTAGAAGTGTGTCCAGATTAGCAGGGCACAAAGCATGACAATTACTAAAGGGATATATAATAGCTCCTACACTGCATGTGAAGGGCAAGAAGAAATCTACTAAAATGACCAAGAAAGAAAAATAGTTCAATGTTAAATAAGCATGCCCAACGCTTAAAATAATCT